TTCCTCAAACGTGGGGGAAAATATCTGTGCCTTTCTGTGGGGGAGTAAGACAGTTTTTCATTGGTATTACATTTCATTTTGAACAACAAAAAAAAGAAGGCAAAAGAAGAAATTAAAAGAAAATAACATTTGTAGTCTTTGGCATTTAAATGTTAGTTCTGAAGGACTGGATCTGTCTCTCTCGAAAATGTGGCAACATGCATTTGGGTGACAGCACTTCCAGTTCTGAAATGTTTTACTTGAATGGGAAATAAATTGTTCCTCACTCTTAACTGGAACATAGTATTTGAACTTAGTTTTAAATTACCATTATCTGGCTTGTTTTCTTTGTCTTTGTACTGGTTTCAAGATGAACAACTATTCCTTGGAGTAAAAATACTGCAGTCTTACAGACACAGAACATCTTATACGATGATTAATGTTAGAGGAGGATGTTTAGCTCTTTAATTGTGTGTGGTTTTTTTAGTTTGGTTTTATTTAGTTCAAGCATTTACTGTCATTAAACTCAGCACCATCTTTGCTTTTCAGCTGTAGTATTAAGTGGGAACTGCTTTGCTTCCTATTTTTGAATCTTTTAGGCTTTTGAGTTCTGTGCTAGATTAATCAATTTCTATTATCAATTTATCAAATAGATTAAAGAAAAAAAAGTATTAATTTCTGATAATGTTAAGAAAAATAATCCTGTCCTCAGCTGAGTAATAAACTGATGTTATCTAATCCTGCTTGTTGTTGTGTAAGGACTTTTCTTTAATCCCTCCATGGAGAATGTAGAGCACCTAGGGCTTTATGGCTTTGTGGTGTGGGTTTTTTTGATTGTTTTTTCCAACTTCACTTGATGCTTTCTGCTCCTTAGGTCAGCCTCATGACAGCAGTCACTGTGATTTCTGGGACAGTGATTCAGTGAACTGTTGTAAATATTTCTCATTTTAAAATTCAGTACAAAAATGAAAAAATAGAGAGGAGATAGCTCTGGAGATGATATTTAAATTGTCGTGTGTATTTTAAGAAGTTATAAAAAGTATTTGTTCCGATGTTGAGTGTAAACAATGAAGGGATATATTCATTGCTAAAAGATGTGTGAAGATAAATTCACTGAAGACATATATTACAAGTTTGTCAACATTACAAATATTCTTTATAAAAGTATTTTTCTTTCCATGGATGAAGATGCTGTTGAGAAAGGCAAACCGATTTAGGATAATATTTATCAAATGATTGACTATGGACTTACGAAGAGTTTTTTAGGCCTCCGTATTTCTGCTAGCATTAGTGATGATTTCATTTAGAAATAGAAGACTTTCTGAGGTGAGAGAATTAATAAAGGGTTCAAAGATCAAATCTGACAATTCAAATAAGCAGATTGCTACAGAGAATGTGTATTTGTAACTTTATGTTCTGTAGGAATTTGTGTGAAAGCGACTAGAAGTATGCTTTTAATATTTGTATAAAAACAAGTGAAGAGTCTTATTCTGTTAATATTCATACTCACAACATTAAAAAATTAGTCTATAATCTTTGTTGTTTTTTTTTTTTTTCCTGCCTGCTTGCTAGGCTTCAAGTATATAGACAGGTAACTGTGCATAGTATTGGAGAGAAGACTATTTGGGGTGGGGTTCTGGGTTTATAGCTTTTCTATTCTTTTGTTATTTAAAAGAAAATTACCCAGGGTGTTAAGTAGAAATAGACAGTCCTTCTAATAGTTTTCTCACAGTGTAGTATAAAACCAAGAATGGTAGATTATTTTTTCTTTTCTGTTAGTTTTGGTACTCGGGAGGAAAGCAATAATGTAGAAGTGATTGAATACTTCAAATAATAATGAATGTTTGAGATGAATGACAACTGCAATTTTCAAGCAAAGCTGGACAGCACTGTATGTCTAAAAAGTTGACCATCACAAATGGCAGTTTTGTAGTGAGAGTTTTCCCAGTTAACAAGAATAACGGTGGGATGGATAACTTGGATTAAGCAAAAAAGCAATTCAAAATATACCTTGATTTGACTGTAAGCAGGCTTTCCTAGAAAGCATGGGCAGTTTTAGGTTGGTGTGGGTAGAGCAATGTTCAGTTGTAAGCATTTTGTGCTCTGTATTATATACTTCTGACATCGTGCTTTAGCAGTTGTGTTTTTTTTTTAATGAAACTGTTAGTTTACAACTTGCATGCTTCACACACACACACTCACAATCAAGAGTTGAGCATACCATTACTACCCTTTGCTGCTGCTTCTCTATTCTACTGAAAAAAATCTACAATGTAGTGCTTTAAATGTATTTTGAAGGGGTGAGTGAAGTGTCCCACAAGTCTTTTGTATGGCAGGTCTTACTGTATTGCCACAATAAATATTATGTCTGCAAAATGGATTTACATCTGCAAATAATTTTCTGATCTAGACGCACCCTTAGTCTCCTATGAGACTGAACACCTGAAGCATGTTGGCATTGCTGGGAAGAGCAGGTTGTTGAAGCTGATATTGATAAACAAGAAAAAAAATTCAAGTTTTATTGGAAATACAGAACAGAAATGAGTGACAGGAAAAAAATAGAATAGTGTACATTCAGCTTGATATTAGTACTGGTCACACAAATAGAAGGCAAAAAATCCTGCATACTGAAGCCCTTCTCACTTAATGTTTTGATGAGTTAACTTGCTATGAATGGGGAAAGTAAATTAAACCATATCAGATAATTTATTGCCTGCATGAGGCGTTCAGAAGGTACCAGTTGTCTACTTTGGTTTGCTCACAAAATATTAAGAGCATTAATTAGTGCTACTGTTGATACTTAATACTTTTTCAAAAATATATACAACATTTTAATATAAAATTAATAACGTGGTAGTGGTTAGGTCTTAGAACGTTTACATGTGTGTATATATTACATAAATGTGCATATATTTGTGTATATACATATAATTGTTTTCATAGGAGGAGTGATATTTACTGATCCTATTAATACTGGAAAGAGCTTTGTTTAGTAATAATGATTTGTGATGAGACTAAGATCAGAGCCTACTGCTTATGTAACGTTATTACACTTACACTTTAGCTGTGTTTTCTCCATCTTGGGCATTTATTAAAAGAGGGATGAGAGAATTGGTGGCTTTTATTTTTTCCTAGTATAAATTTGCTTGAAGTTGGAATGTATTTTTACATGCTTTGGGGTTATTTTTTACCTTTTGCTAAAAACCTGGAAACATCAAAGTTTCATGACTTACTTGGTTTTCATTTTCCCATGTATTATTCTTACTGTCAGACTTGGTTTTGTTCTCAGTTGTATTAAGAAAATGATTTTCTTTCTTGTTATACCAAATAACTTAAAATGGAAAATATTTGGGATTACTATGTCTTTCTTGGGTAATGGGTTCAGGGCAAAAATATTTTTGTCCTGCATTTCATAATTGCATCCTCTTTCCAGAAAGATGAGCCCACAGTTGATGCTTGACATAGTCACTTAAAAAGTGACTGAAAGTCACTTCGGTCTCAACACTCTTAGTGGCAGAGCATCAGTATGTTCAGAATTAAGTGTGCACTTAATTTCCCATAGCACAAGCACTAACAAATCAAGGCTTAGCTAAATAAGATAAACTAATACAAAATATCTCGTAAAATCAGTATTCTAGATGTAGTGATACATCATCATGCATTCGATGCTTAACTATTTCTACAAATTAGGAATCTATACTAGCTTCAAAATTAGTATGAAGTTGATCTGGTAATAGTAACTAGCACACTTTTGGCATTCATTTGTCTGAAGAGTTTATGCCTGCGGTAGGTATTTGAGGGGAGAAACTGAAACTGAAATGTCAGATATGTATAGCTGTGTAATTAAAAACTTTGTGTCCTGTATCAATTATGTCTAGTTTTAGGTGAACTGACTGTTGAGGCCTGCACACATCAATTTGTGTTTTTAATATGCTGCATGGTTTAAAGTAGTTGAGTAAAATGAATGCTAGTTTAATTTGCTTGAAGTTAACACTATTTTTAGTTTGATGATAGAATCAACTTTTCTTTTTAATTTGAAGATCTGATTTGATTTTTCCCTAATGAGTGAAAAAATTGTTGTACAAGGGTACTTCTGTTTCTTTGCACTGACATCTAGCTGAAATCTTACTTATTTACAGGTAAAAACATTAATTCAGCTTTGCTGTTAATTATACTGCCACATTTCCTTGTTAAGAAAAAGCAGTGGAACAAGGCTCAGTCTACATCATCTGTTAATAACAAAGATACTTGAGTCATACTATGCTGTATTTTGACCATTGTATTAAAATGGTGTTGCTGGTGTTGCAAAAATGACTCGTGTGAGTACAGCTGAGCAAAATTTATATATTTCAATTAAAAATACCTCGTGTAAAAAATAAAATACCTATATAATATATCCACACACACTCTTAGATAATTTTGAAAGCAAAATAGTAGAAGGAGATTTAACACATCTTTGAAAAGTTCCACTTGCTCTGTTGCTTGCTACACTAAGCCTAAATAGGAATTATTCTCATTTTCCACAAACCAAGTTTTTAAGGAAGCTTTAATGAAGTTAAGCTTTGAGAAGTTCTACTTCTAAACATAACTTTCTTTTGTAAGCAACTTCATCCAATACACTTTTGAAGGTCCACTGAAAAAGCTTCATTTCAGATTAAAAAATTGGGATATGGAATTAAGATGTATTTTTCCTCTGTAGCTTGCTCAAAGAATGTTTTGTGTTTATTTGGAAGTAAAATGTAGTGATTGTTCTGCGTACTGGTAAAGAATGTGAACAAGCAGTTTCTTGTGTGATTTTACCTACATGTAAAGACTATGTGGTGAAATAAAAGTTGAGAAGATATGTGTGTGCATATATGTATTTTTACACTTTCTTTAACAGAAAAGATTATGAAAGCATGGGTGACATTGTAACTACTAAATAAAGTGGCTGTTTTGAAGTAGTTATTTCAGAGGAGAACACATTTCAACATAGTAAAAGGTTCCGGGTGTGCAGGGAAAACACATTAGTAAGGAAGAGGATATAAACGTGTAAACAGAGGAAAAAGAATGATCTTCTGTTACCATGTTTAAGTTTTGGCATGTATAATTACGTAAGTAGTGGCTAGTAGTATGCTCCTACAGGCAGTGTTCTCAAGCAGGAAAAAGCATTAACATGCTTTGCCAAGAGGATCGGATTGCCTTCCATCCTTATCTCATCCATGTGTGTGCGGATGTAACGTGTGTTATTAGATTTGCAGAATGTGTCATCGGTGATTGTAGTAATATTATTGTACTGCAAAACAAAACAAGTTTTTATAAATAAATACACACACACACACATATATATACACCCCCCCCCCATATATGTTGAGGAATTTTCAAACTTTAATTTTATTCCTCTTGCCCTCCCATTTTATTGTCATTGGGATTGATTTGTGTATACTATAGATATGTAGGACTCAAGTCTCTTCAAACCAATCAATGAGGTGATAAGCAGTTTGAGGTTATTCATGTTTGAAATGTATTCTTGATAAAAGATTACTGCTTATTTTTACCATTTCCTGTCCTTGATATACAGAAACTAATGAGAAATTCTTGCACGGGAATTAGCTAACAAACAACTTCTGAACACTGAATGGTTGTGGCCATACAGATTAGAGGCAAATTGTTTTATTTGGAGGAGCATTAGACAACTGTAGCACAACTGCAGTGTGAACTGTTTTAAAAGACAGTGTGTTTGGTTTGAAGTATGTAACTAATGAGGCTATTCGTAATAGAATGTTAAGGAAATACTTCAAAAATACCTGAAGGTGAAGAATACGCAGGCTTTCTGGTAAGTTAAGGGGAACAGATTCCAGTGCGTTATGTCCTAAGTAGAGGTAGGCCAAATTTGTCAGCTTCTAACAGAAAGAAAGAGAGATTATTAGTGCTGATACTACTTACTTGAGGTTAACTAACTTGTGCCTGTTAGGAGACATAGGTATTTTTTTCCGATCACATAGAAAGCCTGTGAAGTGATCTACCATGAAACATTCTTTTGCTGTGAATGTTGAATTCCATTGTATCAAGAAACTCATAGAAGAGGCCTATGTTTTGGAAATTTCAATGTCAGCTTATTGGTTATAAAACTCGAGGCCACAAAAAAGCTATATCCTTGTTTATTAGTATTTGCGGTCCTCAGAACTGTATTTGAGCCATCAATTTTTGAATCGAGTTTTTCTTTGCATGTAAGAGGGAAAGGAAGTAGGTAAGATATTCCGTAGAACTTTTTTTTTATATGAACGACATGAGAGAGCGAGTGCACAAAGGACTGTTATTCCAAAGTGCCTTAAAAACAAAACAAAAGCTGGAAAGCTTCTTTGTTGTAGTGTGTTTCTTAGATTACAAAAATACAGAAAAATTAATTTGGTGGTATACTGGATAGTCTGGTTACTAATTTCATTTACTTCGGTTACCTAAATTACTGTCTTTTACTTACCTTGAAAGCATTTGCTTTGATTCCTCTGCTCTTGATTCTATTTTGGTTTGCATTAAATGTTGTTAGTTTGGGAGGTAGAACGGGAAGTTTTATAAGTCGATTTTCAGCAAGAGAAAGTTCTTCCAATAACAGAAGCTTTGAGAAGGCTCCATCTTCTATTTCTTCTATCCTATTTCCACTAAAATCAATTCTTCTCAAGGTAGCTTTACACAAAAGAAATGAAAATCTAAATTTTGGATTTATAATTACATGTCATGTGAAACGTGTGTGGTTGTATACGTTAAATGTTACATTGTTGGCTGCACCATCCTAACTGCGATCTACAAATGTAAATATTATTAAAATATGGATAAAAATCCACATTTGGCTTTCCTCATGGTCTTAAATTTTAAAAAAATAATAATAAGGAAAATGCTTTGGATCCTTCCTTTTTCCTTAGAGACAATGTGATTTCAGATATTCATAGAATTTGTCATGTTGTAGAGTGAGATAGCTGGGAGGGATGTCCCTGGAGCATTTGAAGGAAAAATAATACCTGGTCATTTAAGACTGTCTGGGATGCAGACTTAAATTTTGTTTTTTAGCAAACTGCTCTTTTTCTGGATGTGTGGGAATATTAAGATGGAATCATGGGCCGAAATGGGTTTCCATATTGCCTTCACAGTTCCTGTTCTAATACAAGCATTGAATTAAATAAGTAATACACATAATGAAATCTAGCAAAGTATAAAATCTATCTTATTTGGTAATCTTGGCATACTCTTAAGGGACAACAACTTCAAATGTACTATCAGGTAATCGGAAATTAAAATTTGAACATTACTTACTAATGTCAGCAAAATCTGAGACTGCTATCCTTTTTATTTTGTTAAATCGGGCATAAAGATACGCTGTTTCCTTTGGCAGTGGGGGTACAGCTTCGATGTCTATTTCCTCGCAGTACACTGATCCGCTTAAACACACACAGAGCAGACAAGTAGGTAAATCTGAAAACAAATTATTTTGAGTAGACAGTTAAAAGTTATTCAACTAACTTAAGCATGAATATTAAAAGTAGAATTTTTTCTAGTATCTTTTAAGATTTCCCATCATTAGATTCTTTAAAAAATTCTATTCACATCAAGTTCTTAAAAGATTTAATATTCTGAACTCTTTTTGAGTTTTGCATTCTTTTTATTGTGCATAATTTCCCTGTGTATATTCTCTGTTCTTATCTGAGCATGTCTTGAAATGCTATTAATCGATCTTAATTCAGTTTCATTCTATAATTCACTTAGAATATTGTGAATATGACAGCTGAAACTCTGTGGCCGTGTTAAATGTCATCTTTAGAACCATTCTTTTGAAAAGAGAAATCCATGCAGGAGAAACATCTGGCAGTGCACACATCTGATACTGTAATTGCATTGGAGCATTTCTGGCAGGGTCATGTATACTCTGTGTTACTCCTAGCTACTATTTTGTCTAATCCTTTTCATAAAGACTCCAGCAATGATGATTATATAATTACTTTAGGCAATCTGTTCCCGTTTTTTACTGAGGTCTTTTTATAGCTGTTATTTTAAGCAGTGAGAGAAACTCTGTATCTTTTTAAATGCAGCTTAAGCCCATTATGGTTTGTCCTTTTTCTCGTAGACATTAGCAGAGCATTAGTCATTTCTGCTTTGCATTAATCCTGTATGACCACAATATTAAAATATATATAACAAATATGGCTTTTAATCCTGTTTCGTCACCACTGCTATCTGATCTACTGTGTTTTCTATATTGTGAGATTTTTGGTTAGCTTCCAAATTGGTTGGTCTGTAGTACAGAGAGTAGTGTTGTACTGCTAGGTAGTTTGTTATTACTACGTAGCAAAATAGGAGCTTCTGCAACTAGTAAAGAGTTATAGAAGTAGCCAGTCAATACTGGGAAGCCAACCCAGTATGTATAATAGAGTAATTCCTTTTTTCGCCCCCCCCCTTACAGAACTACTATGGAGAATGGAATTCAGATTTTGAGCTTTAGCTTTGTGAATTTTACCATTTGTTAGACTTCAGAGTTCTGCCTTGTTTGCCTTTTTTGATTTAGTGTCTTGTTTGTCATATGCTAGAGTGGGAAATGGAAAATGATTGTGAAACCATGTTGTCGCTATTTAAAAGGCAATAGTTTTCATACTTGTCTGTGAGTAGAAGCTCTGGTGTTTTTACAGATTTGTTCCGCTTTTGGTGGGGGCTTGTTGACAGATGCTATTTGGCAATAACTAACCTTGATTAAAACTTTGGTGGAGATTGACACTTCAGTGGCCTTGCTGAATCATCAGTTATATTTGGAAGTTTAGATCACAGATACACCCGAAATGTGTGTCTTTTTCTCAATGCTCTGTTTGGCAGACACATTGTTCCTTTCACATTTAGAAATCTTTGTGGCTCCTTAGGAGAAATCTGGACAATACACCTCAGAGCCTGTAGGAAACTTAGGCTAGTGAAGAATGTTCCTGGTGTATTTTAACCATTGACCTCCCTGATCATCACATGTAAACTGTAAGAATAGCCTGTTCTTTGAAGAAATTTCTTTAAGTATTTTAAGCACATCATATTTCATCATTACTTGGTTAAACTGTGGAATTTATTGGTTATGTATTTTGTTTTCCTCAGTTGTCTTGCCTAACTTATTTAACTTGGGTACATCTCCACAGAAAATATGACTGGGTTAGTCTGTAGAGATTCTTATAAGCTGTGCTTTGTGTATTTGGAGTTTACCTGAGGATCCTTGAAATTTTTTCTGCCTGCTCCATCAGAAGTTAGAAGACTTTCCACAGGAGATAAAAAAGATATTAATAAATGAGGAGTTTAATTCCATATACCTTGTCATCCTTTGTATATTAAATTTTCATATTAAAGTATGTTCTTTTGGAGAACTTAAATGTTACAGTATTCATATCAATTAACTTACTTGTATCCTTTGTTGGTGGTACATTGCTGTCATCCCCTTGCAGTCTTAGGGAAGTGTCAAGAGAAACATTTGTTCCATCCTTTGTATTGAGAGCAAATGTTATTTTAAAAAATAAACAGCAAACAAAAAACCACAGAGTATTACAAGGATCTGAAATAGCAGGTCTTTTTAAAATGAGCTTCCTACAACATATCTCCTTATGACATTTAATTTTTAAATACTTTTATATGCTGGATGACTAATGTGCTATATTATCCCTTTTGTAGATGAGCTCTTCACTTTGAAAGGCAAGAAGGAAAGGCGGTGCTGCTATTCTTTAGAAAAGTAAAGTTCTTTAGGAAAGAACAGTAGACACAAAATAAAAATAGAGAGGAAAATACAGACTACGTGGTGGGGAAGGAATATGTAAGCAATGGGTGTACAAAAACCTGGAGTTCTGAAGATAGATTTTGCACATCATGCAAAATTTGTTAGGATTCTTTTGAATGTAAGTTGTATTTTTTTGTTTTACCCAAATAATCTTAGTAAAATAACATTTTCTTGTGTTTAGACTTACTCAGAATTCCCTGTTGAGATAGTCACTGCATCTCTTCAATTGCAGGACAACTTAGTTTATAAACATATTCCTTTCAAGTATTGGCTGAAATTAGCAATTCATTTCCATTAACTGCACTTAAGTCTGTTTGAACACCTGGGCTGCTAACAGAAAAGGCCTTTTGTGATGCAGGAAATGGTAGTCAGATTTTTATTGAATACCATAGGAATTTTAGAAAATTATGTACTATTTCTAGAATTATAGTATACGTACAGTGGGTTATACTATGATTTGCATGTATTAAAGTTAAGGAGATTTTTAGGTTGACTGTGGCAATTGTGCTTGGCTAGCATCATTCGTTGTCTTTTTTGATGGGGAATAGTTGTAGGACAGAGTAAGACAATATGCTATTTGGTCTGCCTTGCTATTGAAAACACATAGGGAAAAATACATTATCAGGTGTGGAAGATGTTTTTCTTTAAACATGCTTAAGGATCAGGCCCTGGCAGAAGTACGGTCCCCTGTTGAAGAGAGCTGCTTATGCACTGTGAGTGCTCACAAGTGAACAGATTTTTTTTTTTTTTTTTTTTTCCCCCAAATTCTTCCCCACTCACCCCCATTCAGGCATGTAGCACACAGATAGTTCATCTACTAGAGTAATATGAAAGTAACGCGGTCAGGTTACTTTTGATACTAATTTTGTTTTATTTAGTATTGGGTTGCTTGCATATATTTTACTGTGGGAATTCTTGTATTCTGCAAAATAAACCCCTCAAGTTTGACATAAAGCCTGAGAAACAAAGATCTTGGCCAGCCTCTGTCATTTTGACCCTTTTTTAGCCTGTGAATCATCCATCCCTTGGCTCTTCCCTGCATCTGTCTATCCAGGCTATGGCTCTTTTTTGCCTATTGTTTTTGTGTAAAGTTTGGGATAGGTTGGTTTGTTCTAATAAGGCTTTTATACCCAAGTTAGAATGCTGGCAACAGTTTAGCAGTTGTAGCATTAAACTTCTGTATAGGGTAAGAGCTTTTGCAGTTTTGGGTGTAGAGAAGCTGGGGGGTGTAAGCTGAACAGTTAGACTCAAGCAAGCAGCAAATCTTACAGGAGGTTTCTGCAAAAATGTTTAACTTGCATAGATATGTTGATTAGGCATGTGAAGACATTGTCTTTGGCTGAGGTATCCATGCCAGTAGAGTCTTCTGTGTAGAGGGACTTATAATAGAAGAACTGCACTTCTATTGTTGTGGCATGTTTGGCTCATAAAGGACATTTTTAATATGCTTGTATGAAAAACATGTTTGCTGACATAGCATGTCTGTAGATGTAGGTGTAGATTTCTAGTACAGTATCATTCTGGAGGTGTGGTCTATGAAAGACTATGCGAGTTCTTTGTAGAATACAGTGTACAACTAATTTCTGCAAGTGGGAAATGTCAACAAAAAATAGAACTGATTATTTGCAGAATACTGTTAAATCCACAAAACCAAACAACAGACTCCCCTGCCTCCCCCCCCCCCCCCCACA